GAGTACCCGCCACCGCCGGTGAGTCTGGGAGGCAGCAGTCACGCTGCGCGGCTGCCCAACGGCCTGGGGGGCCCCAACGGCTTCCCGAAGCCGGTACCGGAGGAGGGACCCCCGGAGTTGAACCGCCAGAGCCCCAACTCGTCTTCGGCGGCGGCGTCGGTGGCGTCTCGGCGCGGGACGCACGGTGGGTTAGTGACGGGGCTGCCCAACCCGGGGGGTGGCGGAGGCCCCCAGCTCACGGTGCCTCCCAACTTGCTGCCGCAGACGCTGCTTAACGGTCCGGCCAGCGCCGCCGTACTGCCCCCACCGCCGCCCCACGGCCTGGGCAGCCGGGGCCCCCCGACGCCCGCGCCCCCAGGGGCCCCTGGGGGCCCCGCTTGTCTCGGGGGCGCGCCGGGCGTATCCGCCGCGTCTTCATCGGCGTCGTCTTCGACCTCGTCGTCTGTGGCCGACGTGGGCGTGGGTGCAGGTGGCAAAAGGCCCGGTTCAGTGTCGAGCACCGACCAGGAGCGCGAGCTGAAGGAGAAGCAGCGTAACGCCGAGGCCCTGGCCGAGCTCAGCGAGAGCCTGCGCAACCGCGCGGAGGAGTGGGCCAACAAGCCCAAGATGGTCCGCGACACGCTCCTCACGCTGGCTGGCTGCACGCCCTACGAGGTGCGTTTCAAGAAGGACCACTCGCTGCTGGGCCGCGTCTTCGCCTTCGACGCTGTCTCCAAGCCCGGCATGGACTACGAGTTGAAACTGTTCATTGAGTATCCCACGGGCTCGGGCAACGTGTACTCCAGCGCATCTGGGGTTGCCAAGCAAATGTACCAGGACTGTATGAAGGACTTCGGCCGGGGTCTGTCCTCCGGCTTCAAGTATCTGGAGTACGAGAAGAAGCACGGCTCCGGGGACTGGCGCCTCCTTGGAGATTTGCTGCCCGAGGCCGTGCGCTTCTTCAAGGAGGGCGTGCCCGGCGCCGACATGCTGCCCCAGCCCTACCTGGACGCCAGCTGCCCCATGCTGCCCACGGCGCTGGTGAGTCTAAGTCGCGCCCCCAGTGCACCCCCGGGTACCGGAGCCCTGCCGCCTGCCGCCCCCTCGGGCCGAGGCGCAGCTGCAAGTCTGCGCAAGAGAAAGGCGTCCCCTGAGCCTCCGGATTCCGCCGAGGGTGCACTGAAGCTGGGCGAGGAGCAGCAGAGGCAGCAGTGGATGGCGAACCAGAGCGAGGCCCTAAAGCTCACCATGTCTGCTGGGGGCTTTGCGGCTCCAGGGCATGCGGCTGGGGGTCCGCCCCCTCCGCCTCCAACCCTGGGACCCCATTCCAACCGGACCACTCCGCCTGAGTCGGCTCCTCAGAACGGCCCGTCCCCCATGGCGGCCCTCATGTCGGTGGCAGACACTCTCGGCACCGCGCACTCGCCCAAGGACGGCAGTTCCGTGCACTCCACCACTGCGTCCGCGCGGCGCAACAGCAGTAGCCCAGTGTCGCCGGCCTCTGTGCCTGGGCAGCGCCGCTTGGCTTCACGGAACGGGGACCTGAATTTGCAGGTGGCGCCCCCGCCGCCTAGCACCCACCCAGGCATGGACCAAGTGCACCCCCAAAACATTCCGGATTCCCCTATGGCCAATAGTGGGCCCCTGTGCTGTACCATTTGCCACGAACGTTTGGAGGACACACATTTCGTTCAGTGCCCATCCGTTCCCAGCCACAAATTCTGCTTCCCTTGCTCTAGAGAGAGTATCAAAGCCCAGGGGGCCACCGGCGAGGTATACTGCCCCAGCGGAGAGAAATGCCCCTTAGTAGGGTCGAATGTACCTTGGGCCTTCATGCAGGGCGAAATTGCAACGATCTTAGCTGGGGATGTTAAAGTGAAAAAGGAGAGAGACCCTTGAACCACAAGACAGCCACCTTCTTTGCCCCAGACCATCTCTCCAGTCCAGAGAGCCCCTCCCCCCACCCATATCGACCCTCCCTTCCCTCACCCCCAAGATGTAGAATTGTGAATATAACAAACTGCAAAAAGTTAGTCTTATGTATAGACATTATTTTCGTCGTATGTTTCTATATTTTGAAACAAAGGTATGTAACTTCTTCATTTGAAGGATAAGCTGGTTTGTGTTAAGCAGTATAATATTGGTTGGGTCATTTGCATCATATTTGTTAGCATTTATTTGGTGGCAGAGTGTTTGCCTAGGTACAGAATTAATAGCCCTTAGCAACGACTGCTGCTGGTGTGTATTTTTGTAAATGTTATGCACTCTCTGAAAGGAAAAAAACACACAAAAGAAAATGACTTTTTTTTTTTGCCAAGGCCAGTGTTGCTGCCTAAAAAAATGATGCTATAAAATGGTGACAGCTTCTTTCTAAACAGCCCCAAGTGTTTAAGTCTTCACTTTATTTTGTTCCGTTTTGTTTTGTTTTTGTTCTGTTTGCAAAATGGTAAAGGGGGGTATTGGGGGGGCGGGGTGTTTTTTGTTGCAAGTTTGTGAGGGAAAATGTTTGGGTTTGTTTCTACTGACCTGAATGTGTTGGATCTTCACGTGTTGTTTTGTTTTTGCTTTATTGATGCACGGATGCTTTTGAACAGTAGAGCGAAATGCTAGACATGGAGAATCTGCTCTGTTTGTCCTTTATACATTTCTGTAGTTAACAGAACACTGTAATGTGCCTTGGAGCTTAGTAACTTGTAATAAATTCAATTGATATTAATTCTGCCCTGAGTCAGCAAGTGTGTTTTTCTAGAGGTAAGGCCACACAGTTCCAACACGGGGAAGCCCTACCTCCAACATAGAACATAAATGCTGGTGCCTTTGAAAGCCCCCAGCGATGGCATCTTGTAAGGCCCTGTGCTGGCCCACTACCCCTCCCCCTCAGTACCAGGCTATTTACATTCACCTCTGGGGCTGGGACAGTTGCTGACTAAGCGATTTCTGTTTACTCTTCAGCATATCTCTTTTCTAACAGATACGCTGCCCCAGCTGCAAGTGGCACTGTCAGGAATGGTTTTTGGTGCCTTGCTTTGTGGCCCTGAGTATATGCTAATACCCAGTGCAGCTGTCACTTCTGCAAGTGGGGGGTGGGGGAGGAAACTAGGGTGCTTTGCCTCTTAAATGTAGCAGAAATCACTGTGATTGCACATTTAAAGCAAAATGCCACAGAGTTGAGAGCTGTCAGTGGAGGTAGGAGGGGTGTGGGCAACTGGGAAACATGCATGTACTACACAGCCAGGAGAGTTCCCAGCAGCTTCCAGCTGATGGATTGGAAAAGCAGTTTCACCTCATTCGTTACACATTTTCTCTTTCCCCCTTTATTGATATGCATTTCTAAAGTCTGTCCACTTAGAAGACAGTTGTGAGGAATGGGGAAGAGAAAACAACCCGAACCCAGTTCCTGAGAAAAGGTCACTTATGACACCAAATAAAACCCATTCCCACTGGTGAAGAAATGCAATTATTCATCTAATCGACTTTCTGGTGGCATTTCTGCAGTACAGAAGGGGGGGGGGAAGGGGACTGGGGACAGGAATGTCCTTTAGTGCCCTGAGCCCCCTTGGTGGAGACCAGACTGGATCCCTTCCAGAGCTCGGGGAAGGCAAACAACCCTGGTGTGAACCTTGTACTTTCCTGGGAGGCAAATGGAACAAGAGTAGAGAACAGGAGGAAAGAAGCAAAACAACCCGCGATCCGATCTATTTCTGGCCACTCCCCATTCCTGGTTGGGGCCAGCTGGGCCAGGACAGTCCCCACCAAGGCCAGAGGAATAAGCGAATAAGGGAAGACACATGGTGCGCTCCCATCAAAGAGGGAGGCGGAAGGTAGGGAGGTGGTATGGGTGCAGACTTGTTTGGGGAAAAACAAATCCTGGGTTAGCCTAGAACACTGGTGTGGAGGTTGGGTTAATGTTGGGACTTGCTGTTAATAACACCCTTTTAGTTTCTGTTCCTGCTTTGCCACCACCATCATTGAAGTAGTGGAAACCATGACGGTATGTATGTGTGTTTGGGGGTGTGGATAAATAGCAATTGATGGATCCGCTGCAGCCTCTAAATCCTGGTGCATGGAAGGTGCCTGTCTCACCTCTTTAAGAATCTCCCCACATATAAATAGATATTCGTGTCAGCTTCCTGCAAATGTGTCCTTGCATTTTCATCTGCTGCCAAGTGTTGGTGCTTATGAGTCATGAAACCTATTTTCATCCTCAGGGGTAATTAACTTGGGGGTGATAACGCATAGCAGACTGTGGGAAGAGTTAATTCTAAAACCCATCCTCGCCTGGCTACCAGTCACACATTTCACTTAAAGGTCTGGGTTTGCTTTCCTATAAGCTCATTAATAAAAACCAAGCATGCTTCGCCTGGAAGATCCTCTAAGGTGTTCCCAACCCCCACTCCCAATACACACACTCTTAAAATGGGAAAAGCTCAGCAGCCTGAGAATACAAAGATGGAGTGTCACGGGTGTAATTTAACCACCATTGAATGAAGGAGCGGTGGGTGCAGCCACAGCATCGAACTGTGCATGTGAACTTAGATGTGTGGATAGCCTGTCCAGACTCATAAGCACCTGTGAGCACTGTTCGGTGACTCCATTTGGAATCCAGTCCTCTTATCTGCCAATGTATGCATATCTGTTCCTGCTGGCCTGCCACTGTCCCTTCATTGCTATGGTATTACGTTCCGGAACTTTTAGGATTACAAGACCCTTGATTTAGTGCATTGAGGTAGAAAAGGACCTGTCATTAGGTGCTGAGAACAGTGTAGTTTGCCCCCCTTCTTGTTTCTGGGTGCATTATGAACAGGAAAGACAGCTGTAATAATGAGGCACCTAGCAAAGGCAGCCTGTGGGTTTCACTAAGGAAACCTGCCTCCATGAGACCTGGGGGAGAAGAGGGTGGGAGTGGGAAGGAGAGAGAGGATTGGGGTGGAACTCAGGCTGGAAGTGAATTATAATAGTGCAGTTAATTAAAGTTTACATAGCTAGGAGCCATTCGTTAAATGGCTTCGCTCTCTTCTCCATTTTTGGAACTGAGTGACCTTTCTCTTTGCTCTGACCCATTCAGCCGCTAGTCTGGTTGCCTTAACCAGTCTAGCTTTGGTCTCACCGCTAGATTCCTCCTTCCCTGAAGCCTTCCACCCTGCAGACCTAGGAAGTGTTTTCCTCTCCAGCACCTGAGGATTTTTGTGGGTTTCAGAGATTCAGGAAGAGGTCTCTGGGTGAGCCTGAGTTTCCTTCATCTCCAGTTCACCCCGATCTCCCCACCTCCTCCATTTCCCATCCTTCTCACTCCCTTCCCCTTCAGAGCCAAAGTGGCCAACATTTAAAAATCCAGATTGTATTTATTTATATGCATTGTTTGTACAGCTTACCCAAGCTGGTTGTTTCTGTAGGGCACTGGTGGGAGTGAGGGTGGGGATGGGGAAGGGCAAGGAAGATTTCAAGGGAATAGGCTGATGGCGTCATTATTTGACCTTGATCTCTGAAGGCCGCACTATAGGAGATTCACCATGTCAAGTTCTGCATTTACATGTGAACCTGCTCAGCTCATGTGGGCATACATACCTACGTTATTAAATGTAAGATTTATGTACATCCGGCCTCAGCTGTTAATGTAATGAGTACTGGAATTCACTTTTGTTGTCTCTCATACTTTATCAAAACGAGGAAATTGGAACTGGGAATGACTATTAAGGTCATCTAGTAAAATATTTTCTAAACCTTTCTGAGTTTAGAGACCCCTTAGAAAAATCTGATAAAAATTACAAATCCTTCCCCAGAAAATACAGGTACTCCCACACACATGGATTTGCATACCTTTTCTTTCCCTTTCCTTTTCAATATAAATTTTATGTATTTATTTTTGAATAGGTAACATAGTCTTCTGGTTCAAAATTCAAAAGATGCAGGGGGGAATACATACAATCGTAAGGTCTCCTAAAATTGGCTCCTCTGCCACCCAGTTCCCTTCTGGGTTGCAACCAGTGTTAACCAGTTTTTAAAGGGGTTCATGTACATCTAAAGCCCATCCATGGAACTTGAGGTTAGAATTTAGGTCTCATCCATTCACCTCTTAGAGATGAGGGCCCCAAGGCACAGAGAGGTACAGCATCTTTCTTAAGGTCACACAGTGGCAGAGTCTGGGCTAGATCCCTATTAGGAAATAGCTCTGATAGACATATTTTAAAAAATTAAGGACACTTGGCTTAATGAGCTGTATTTGAGAAAGAATGATGATGAGGTGGGCAAAAGGAGAATGAGTACCTGGTGGGGTGGGGATCAGTATTTTTACTAACTCTTGGAGGACTGGGAACAAACATTTGTCCCCTGGTGTGTTACAACCAGACCTTTTGGGGGAAGGGGATGTTCGAGAGAAGTTTCTAGGTTTCTGACTGTAAATATCAGGTGGGCTTGAACTAGTGGAGTCTTTTTTCAACCTTGTAGCTGTGGACCTTCATACCACCTCCCCCTTTGCTGACTGAAAACTTCCGAAGGTTTAGAGACAGTCAGATAAGCAACCATCTGGGCATAGAAATAAGTAAGGAGAGAGAAAGAAAGATGGACCGGGACTCCTCCCACCTTCCCTTGAATTTGGGGCTTCTCTCCTCCCTCTCTGTCACCAAGTTTTGCCTGGCCATCTCTCCCCACTGCTAACGAGGGAACTGAAGGAGACAAGTGGCATGCCAGGTGCTATGTGACATGCAGGGTAGACGCAGAGTACGCCAGCCAAGTATGAAGAGGGTGTGATCTCATTTATTTTACAGATGTGCCATTTAAGCTCAGAGAGGTGAAATACCCAAGGCCATCCTTGGTATGCAAGTCAAGCCCAAGGCAGCCTGGAGCCTGGACTCTCCCCAGGATTCCTATGTTGCTGCACGCAGAGGGCCTTTGACTTTTAACCTGCAGGGCCCAGGAAACCCAGGCTCAGAGCTTGAGTCCCGTCCCTCAGCCTTCTCCCCATCTCCCAGAGTCTCACAGTGAGCATGGTCAGTGCCAGTGAGTGAGAATGTCCACAGGAGGACCTGTCGGGAAGCCCCTAGAAGGGGGCATTTCCTAGGCTCAGTGTTCTGGGGACACATGGTGTTGCTGATCAAGTGATTATGTCCAATCAGAGTTTCTAGAGCAAGGCCGTTCTTCTGAAATCTCCCTCAGCTGCCTGCTACCTCCAAATTGAATTAAAGAATGATCCTACCTCTGTCTCAGCTTTGAGAGAACAGAGGGGTGGGTAGAAAGCAGATGAGGGTTCTAATTCCTAAGGCATATTGTTCCTATGGGGAGCATCAGCCCTATGAGCTCCTGTCTTCCTTGGCAATCTGGCTTCTTTAAGAGAAAAAGAAGTGGCGGTTAACTCTTGGACCTAGCTTCATTGTCCTGTTTCTTTTGGGGTAACTTAACTCTCTGTGGGTACCATATTGTGGACCCACAATCGATGGGTCCCTGGTTTAGGCTAGACTCAAGAAAAGTGTCCCAACCTCCCAACTGTTCTGCTGGCTCCAGTCTCTGCCTACCAGGCCATGACTCTATAGCAGTCCATTCTTTCATGCATCCTTGCTTAGAACCCTTCCTTGGCTCCTTGTTGCATACAGGAGAAAGTCCAAATGTCTTAGCACGGCAAGTAAAGCCCTCCACCATTTCTCTATCCCAAGGGTAGAGGTCTTCAGTTTCCTTCGGACGAGGAGAGTCCTGCTGGCAGTTATTTCGTGTACACTTTCAGCA